TCTTCACAACTGATTTATGATAATGGATATACGGATGAATTAAGCTTTTTCGAGGGATTTTAGACTTATAAAAAACTAAAGGGTTTTTTGTAATTGTTGCTTGAAATGGCGGATTTGAACCCATTTGATTTGCTGGGTGATGATGACAACGATGACCCATCTAAGCTGATTGCCATTCAGCAGCAAAAAGTTGATACCGCTAAGAAACCCTCTGCTCCGGCGGCGGCGGCTAAGAAGCAGCCGGCTAAGCTCCCCACTAAGCCTCCTCCCACGGCTCAGGCTGGTGAGCGTCACCTCAGTTTATTATGTTCTCATATTTTGTATATTACCTAAAAGTAGAGAAAGGTATTAGTATTTCGATCATGTTTAGTGTATTGAGTTAAGCAGATATTCCATATTGCGCAGATAGCGTGATTAACTTTTTGGATGTTGATTTCAACGTCTAATCAATTAATATGACACCAACTTGGTGTATTGCTTATGCAATACTAACATTGATTTATCAAAACGGAAGTAGTCATGACGTACATAGACCTTTAAATATAACAGTCTATACGTGTGACACCATAGTGATTAGAAGTGCTAAAAGGGACTAGGTTTATTTAAAATCACACGAGGAATTGTCTAGAAGAAACTCCATTCTCTTAGGATTGATGTGGGCTCAACTAAGAGTATGAGAGAATCGAAGCAAAGTACTCGCGCAGATGATACCAGCTATTTAAGATTCATGCTTAGTTGTTGTTGTTGTTCACACCTACATTAGGTCGAGGTAAGGATAAGTGTGATAGAATCTCTAATTTTCCTTCAATTACTTAGCAGTATCAGCATGAAATTGGGTTGAATACAGTGGAATATATAGAGGATTCATGTCATTAACCCGAACTATTTTGGGATTGAGGTATTGACCCAAAAAGAAAAGGAACTAGTTTGAGAATGAGGCATAATTTATTGATATAAGAAAGAAAATATAATGAGTTAAATACTCCAATTTTAAGAGGGAAGCATAAGATTTTGTAATTTGGACCTTTATTTATTGAAGGATTGGCTGTTGTGTCCTATTTCTAGTGTCACTTCAAAAGAATGAGAAATAATCCCATTCCTGCTGTTATTGATTCCTCTTGGTCTTGAAATTTCAGTTGTTCATCATACGTACATACTTTTTTATATTCCACACAAGATGTCTGACGGTGACCAGTTCTCTGTTATTCTATTTCCTTATTCTCATAATTTTTGCTAGTGGGTCCACTTGAATAATGATATGGATGAATTACTTTTTGTTTATATCTTTTGTTATAGTCATTGCACTTATGGTTCTTTTCCTCTTTTTCTTTTGCAAGTATTCAGAATTTACTTATTGCTTCTTTGTTTCAACTGTGTAGTCAGGGAGGCAAAAACAGAGGTTGGACGTGGAGGAGGTAGAGGTGGTGGACGTGGTTACAGTCGTGGTCGTGGTGGAGGCGGGTTTAATAGGGAAGCATCCAACAATGAGAATTTTTCTCGAAACAGAGAATTTTCTGGTGGTATAGCTGCACCTGAAGATGTGGAAGGAGGAAGACCCTATGAAAGACGTGGCGGTTACGGTGGACCCCATGCTTTTGGTGGTGGTCGACGAGGCGGTTTTAGTAATGAAGAATTTCCTGAGGGAGACCGGCCTCGTAGGATATTTGAGCGCCGTAGTGGTACTGGCCGCGGGTAGACACACCTTTCTTGTCTGTGTTACCATCACCTTTTGTTGCTGTATTTGTAAAGCTTTCTTACTTTTCCTTCGCTATACGAGCAGAGGTGAGATAAAGCGTGAAGGAGCTGGCCGAGGAAATTGGGGAACTCAAGCAGATGAAGTTACTCAGTGAGTTTTACCTTCCTACATAGTCCTAAACAGACTAGTGTGAACATCATGGCACATTCTATCTATTGATTATGGTGTTGATTTGTTTGTGTTGTGTATTATAGGATTACTGATGAAGTTGCTAATGAAGGCGAGAAAAATCTGAATGTGGAGAAACCCTCCGCAGATGGAGAAGCAGGAGACGACAAGAAGGAAAATCCAGCTGCTGAAGCTGAGGACAAGGAACCTGAAAATAAGGTGAACCTTTTGTATCATACTCAACACATTATTGATAGGACCTTGACGATCCCTGTGTTGCTGCCTTGTTTGTTGACACATGTCCTGCTCTGCTCTAGAAACAGATGCTTAAGAGAGCTTGAGCAGTCAGAATTTAACACCTTCCTTTTTGATGGCTTCGTGCTCAATTGGAGTATGCTAAATCAATTGGGTGTTTAGTATATGCTATGACATGCACTTCACCAACATTGCTGATGCAGTTGCTCTTTAATTAAAAGAAGGTTTCTGAATTGACATGGTTTTTGCTTCATATATTGTTTCACTTAATTTCAATTATTTTATCTATATATTGTTGTTTGTTTTTATAATATAAAAAATTATAATGCTCACCTGTGCTATTAGTTATTTTTTCTGCAGTACTGTATATATTAAATTCTTTTCCCTTCGAACATACATGCCTTCGCTGCAGAGTAGGTGTTTTAGTTGCACTTTACTTTATGTATTTCGCTTCTTACAATATTGACCGTAAAGGTAGAAGCAGAGGTTTCATCAGTAGTAGAAGCTTTCCAGGTGTTGTTCTAGCTGTGGTAGAACTAGTACTTAATACATAGTGGAGTTGCAGGCGATAGTTAATAGGTGTTACATGTGAATGTAACTCATGTTCCTTGAATGAATAGGAGATGACCCTTGAAGAGTACGAGAAGGTGCTAGAAGAAAAGCGGCAGGCTTTGCAGGCACTTAAAACTGAGGAAAGGAAGGTCGACATCAAAGAATTTGAATCCATGCAACAGCTTTCAAAGAAATCCAGTGATGACATCTTCATCAAATTGGTGAAATTCTTGAGACATTATGCCCTCTACTCATGCTTGATGCTAGTTATCTATAAAGCATCTCTTGAAATACTTCTATGCCATGATTTTTAGGGCCCCAAGGATAAGAGAAGAGAGTCTGCTGAGAAGGAAGAGAAGGCAAAGAAGGTACTTATTCGGCATATGCGTTCTTTCCTGACAATTGTTTAACCAGCAAATGCTTTTCATACACTGCTCAATAGTGATTTACCAAGCTTTATGAACAATGCGTCCAGTCTGTTGCAATTGTTATATGAACAATGCTTCCAATCTGTTCTAGTTGTTATTCTTGCTATACACCACAGCAGTTATTTCTACTTTTCTGGATGCTGTTGCATGTGTGTCGATGAAAATGGTATCATGTAACAACATTGTTGTAGAGGGAATATTTAAGTTGTATTTCTTCTAAAGTCGGGCCTTGGTTTCTTTCAGATTTTCTGGTAATTGTTTGACTTGCGAACATATAGTAATTATTGTAGTACCATGCTACAATTTTTACAATAAAATTCCATTGCTCACTCTTATACATGTGCATGGACAGGCTGGAGTTGATTGAGATGAGAGGTGTCAAATCAGCAGAAATGAGAATCATCTAATCTTTTTTTCCCTTCTTCTCTGGCTTTAGGCAGTCAGCATTAATGAGTTTCTGAAGCCTGCTGAGGGTGAGAGGTATTATGCACCTGGTGGTCGAGGTCGAGGAGGTCGTGGCCGTGGTTCTAGAGGTTATGGTGGAGGTTACGGTGGAGCCAACACTACCAGCAACGTGGAAGCCCCTCTCATTGAAGATCCGGGTCACTTCCCTACATTGGGTGGCAAGTGATGCTTTATTAGTGCTTTTCTCCCACGTCCAAGAGGCAAATTGACTGAAAAATAATGGAGTGAAAGGGTCAATGTTTCTGATGGCCTTCAATGTAAATTTCTTGCCCTCATGCAGTACCCCTCTGTAGTTTTTTTCTTTATGTTGTGTTACTTTTCTGATATATTGGGGTATATGAAGCACATTAATTTATGCATGAGCTTTTTCTCCGCAGTTCCGTTCTTATATTTTGTATCGCATTCTCATTGACAAAAGATGGGAGGGTGCTCGTGTTCTGATTTGGGACAAAACACCTTTACAATTTACATTATTTGTGTTGGGAAGTGATAAAAGTTTAATAGCCGTGACACTAATGAGTAACCGTAGGGGGGACGGTTAGTGCAAATCCGTGGTGAGGTTATTTGACTTCTCATGTTTTGTCCATACTCTATATTTTTTTTCAAAAAATCTGATCACCCTGGCCTTCACCTCCTGTGGTGTTGAAGCGTTTGGCATTGACCCTTTTTGCTTATTAGAATCAAAAAAAGATTCCAATAAGAAGGGGACCTTATATGTGTTCGAAACTGACCAAAGCTCTGATAGCACCAAAGAGTTTATAAGTTCATCCTCTTAATGAATCTTAGGAATTGCTAAAAAAAGGAATTAATCACTTGTCCTTTTCATCTAATGAAGTGTTCACGCTATTTCCTTTACAAGGTCCAATGTTCTATACACTTCATGGACCTGCTCTGCCGGTCTTCCACCATTCTGCGACACTACTTTGGCAAAAAGAAAAGATTGTATACTAGGCTCAACAGAAGCAACAAAGTGAAGAGAAAGAGCGCGAACACCTTCATTATGAGAAGCAACGTGACTAACTATTTTGGCCCGTTAATTTCTTCATATGCATAACTAGAACAATTTGGATCGTGTACTCCTATAACATAGTAAAAAAAAAAAGGTGTTCTGGTAAGGCGGTATAAGGCAATTGTATGTTCTCTATCCCTATAAGCATAGATTGCCATATTCTCGCTAGAGTGCAAAACAAATTAGCTTAGGCGCTAACACGCTGTTCTCATACTGTTGAAATATGAGAAATATATTTAGACATATATTGAGAAGAGGATCATGCCGACCGAGCAGACCTTTGAGCTTAGCACATTTTTGTGGCAGGCGAAGTGCTGTCCCTTTGGGGACATCCGATGACAAAAAGGATCTTAGTCACCAGACGTTTGAGTGCGTATTCATCTTCGCCAGTATAGCTTCATGTTGAACTATGAGAAATATATTAAGATATTTGTCAAGCTGAAGCAGGGCTAAGTTGTCAAAGTTCAACAATCGTTATGTTCACAATTTGTACACTTCAATTAAAAAATCTTTTTAATCAAGAAAAAAGAAGATACATCTAGCTGTAAGGATTTTGCAGGACAAGTCCACAAGGGTAAACATTGCTTGTGATTAGTGAGATTACAGTAGATATGTCATGGATGAGCCATCAAGCAAATAGCGGAGGTTCTCTTGTAGTCAAAGGACTCAAGATGAGCAGCAGCCACTATTCTGAGCAACAGGCTGTCCACGAATATTTACAGTTGGAGGCTTGGCAGTACTTGTGGCTGGTTGGCTTGCCATACTGCAATAAGGAGAGCAAAAGAGAATTGAAATAATGGAATTTTGCTTGTTAAGAATGAAATTATGGAAATTTAGAGAAGCAACGCATATGCCAGCTCAAATCATAAATGTAAATGAAAAGATTATTTGGAGGACATTTTATACAAGGGATGAGGCCAGAACCAAACAAGTTGCTGTATCTTTCATTTAGATTTTTTTTTTTTGGCTTGTGAAAATGTTATAGGGGGTTGCACGAAATGATCCATGACCATGTTTAAATCCATTTTAAGGCATCAAATAGGATCCTAACTGTAAGATGATTATGTTTACCATCTGAAATATCTCTCAATTTTCTGTACCAACCATAATGTCAGAAAAGGAAGTGATAAAAATATATACGTATCCCTCTCCCAGAAAATTTTAGTAATTGAATCTGATGAAAGATCAGGCCACAACTTGGAAAGGCTATACAAGACACCATTGAGGAGCACTATTTAAAGAGGATACACTTTTACCTATTCTTGATAGCAGAAGTCATAGCCATGAAAGCCTGTTCTACGTTACTAGCATCTTTCGCACTGGTCTCCAAGAATGGAATCCCAATTTCATCAGCAAAGGCCTAAGAATAAATTTAAGTAGATCAGTTTGTTTTACATTTAAGGACAAAGGATAATTAAATATCTGCACGAAGATGATTCACCTTAGCCGTTTCATACGACACAACTCTATTAGCTGCAAGGTCAGACTTGTTCCCGACAAGAATCTTGTTAACATTTGGGGTAGCATAACGATCAATTTCATTCAGCCACTGCTTCACATTATTGAAGCTCTCCTGATCCGTCACATCATAGACAATCTACCATAGAGGCCATGCAAAGAAAATGTCAAAAGGTACAGAAAGCAGTTGGCATTAGACTCTACAGATAACTACTTGCTATTTACAATTTCTTATAAAAAGTAAGGCAACTACTCACTATTATGCCATGGGCTCCACGATAGTAGCTGCTAGTGATAGTCCTAAAACGCTCTTGTCCAGCAGTATCCCACTAAACAGTGTCAAAATAGAAAACAACAATATCTTGATTTCATGAAAAGTTCACAACACAACGAATATCTGTAATATGAAAGGCCTGAAGCAGAAGTGCAGGTGAAGTCTTACAATCTGAAGCTTAATGGTCTTCCCATCTTGCTCCACTGTCCGGATTTTCTACATGAAAATATTTGAACAGTTGGTAAGATCAGTGATAACATAAAAGTAAGAGTGCTCTGGCTGAAAAAGATCACATAAGATTCCAACTGTATGTAAAATTGAGTAGCTCATAAACAATTAAAGCATCTTACAAAATCAACTCCAATTGTGCTTATGTAGCTCTCCTGATATGTGTCATCCTGATGGTAAAAAGCGATAAAATAGTCAGCCAACATTTGCAGAATAAATTTTTTAACCACATTGAACTATAATCTGATAAACTTTTCAGCAGGGTGAGAATCTCTGAGTTGAACTATAATCTAATAAACTTTTCAGGAGGTTGAGAATCTCTGAGTTCACGATCAAGAATCTCTAACAATGAAAGCGACGCAACCAGAAATAAGTTCATAACTAATCATCCAGATGATTAAAGTGTGAAAAATAAATTTCGTGTAAAAGAAGAGTCTCAAATATCATGGCAGATGTAGCTTTTTATGAGTAGGTGATTCATAATTTCATAAAAAGCAATACAACAACTCCACCAGGGTCAGTAGACTCTACTAGCTGGAAAATTAAGGATTATTCAAGACAAATAATTCACTCCAAGTGGAGAATGGAACTGAGAAATGAAGACATGGAGAATCCATGGCTGATGCTCCATAAATCCTCCATTTGTTTAGTCAATCAGGAATTTAGTAGGTACGTTCAGACAGGTAAAAGCAGGACTAGAGAAAAAAGTCAGTATAGACAATTCCAAGATTTGAAAACTTACAGCAAATCTTAAAAGGAGACATGACTTCCCAACACCAGAATCACCGATAAGCAGAAGCTTGAACAGGTAGTCACTGCCGGAAAGCACAACCAATATAATTATAATATACATCCATTAGCTGGCAAATGTGCAAAGTTGTATACTTAAGCGCTACCCGGAATGAAAAAACTAAATCACTAATAGAAACAAGCGCTAACATCAATATGAGAGAAGTTTGTTACCTTGCTATATATGCGTAATTTAGCAACATCTACTGGTCACATTGGGATTAAATTTGGTAGTCCTACTTGATTTGGCTATAAAAATATGGAAGGGCAGAAGTTCTACATTTACGTATTATTCCCTAGATGTTCAAACTTACTATACTTTTTAGTAAATATTATTTCACATATTTATCAACACACCAAGACAAAGTAGTCTTTACATTATAGAAATCATCATGCACTGTTGGATGATGCAGTCTAAGTATGGTTAGATTGATATGTATGATAGAATTTGCGGAAGAGATTGTCTAAGGATTGTACCTCATTTGATAGGCTAAAATGATAGACATGAGATAATTGACCTGCCATATGCTATCATCTACAATCAAATATAGCCTACAAGTTCCAACATTGATTATGTTTGGAGTAAATATTTTGCATCTTCTTGATGCCATTATTGAAGTCAATTACTTCATAAAAAACACAGATCATGTTTGGATGCTCTTTTCTAGGTTGCACTTGATATGATTTAATGCTGCATCACGAACACGTAATCCTAGTTATCTAGAACATCTCTACACCAAAGGAAGACCAACAAATATCGGCCTATTTACCCAAAAAAAACTGACTTAGGAGGTTACTAGTTGGACCTTGTGCAAGCATGTGAAAGAAATATTACACCAAGGAATTTCAAACGATCTGAGATAACCATGAAAGCAATGTTGTCAATGACAAAAAATAGGAAGTGCCAAGTGCCTACAGGAATTTAACAGCAAACCACAACTGAAGTGCGCACTTTATGAAGAAAGGCGCGTATGAAAATAAGGTATATGCAAGGCAAGAAAAAAAATAGTAGTTGTAAATGTTAATCAACAACTGCAATTATATAGACTTACTGAAAAAGCTGCAATTGAGTGAATTGTATGAAGCAAGAACCTTCTTCATCAAGTTCAAAAACCATTTAAAATCTCTAATTTAAATATAAAAGATACAGTTTTGAGTTTTGAATTTAACTGGTGACTAGTATTTTTAATACTTTTTAAGTTTCCAATTTACCATTTCCTGAAAATAACTTCTATTTTTTGGGACCGATTGAAAAAGGAATAAGTTATTAAGCTTAATGTTGATTTTAATCTTCTCAAACGACGTTCGATTGCTGATTTTAGTGAATTAGGGATTATAGGTGAAATCCACAACTGCGATAAAGATAAGGATGTTTTGACAAAATCCACAGTTAAACGAATAAGTATTGAAACGAAAAGAACTAGAAAAGGAAATTGAATGACAGAAACTAATATGAAGAGATAGTTCAATTCTTCACCAATAAGTATTGCAAAATAAGCAAAGGAATATGCCGACGGAACTTACTATTCTGGATTCATGGAGACTAAAAGCAGACGGAAGTCGCCGGAATATTGAGAGATCTACCGGCGAGAATTGGACGGAATTTGATTCTTCGCGGCAGAATTCAGATGCAAAAACGTTGAAAGAGGCTGTGGGAGAGAGAAAGAGACCCTGCAATGAAGACACGTAAAAGGAAACAATGACAAAAATGGTCCTTTATGTTTGGGAAGGTCTAAAGTAGTCCCTTAAATATACATTTAAATAGTTTTAGTTCTTTAAATTTATCAAAATCGAGCAATTTTGGCCTCTATTAAATATTTAACAAACTACGGTAGTTAAATTAATGGGAACCGGAAAAAACATTTGAAGGTGCATATTTTGAAGTTTTTGCTATTTTTGTCTATTTCTAATGTCGGGTGCAGTTTTTGAGGTTATTTAGTTCGGGTCTTTAATATTAGAATTAGGGGTGTATAAAGGAAAACGATAAATTGTACTAAATCGATAATCCGAGTTAAACCGAAAAAAATCCGACTATGGTTTGATATTAGGAAAAAAATCCAACCATAATTGGTTTAGTGTTAGGAAAACAAACCAACCATAATTGGTTTGGTTTGGTTTTAACTAAAAAAAGTCAAACCGAAACCAAACCAATCTGACATTATATGTATACAAGTTTTAAAAATACTTTTATAATAAAAATAATTATTGTAATGTAATTTATAAATATTTTTTAACTCTTTAATAGTTCTCTCTTTTAATGTTTTATTTCAAGCTTGGGTTTAGAACTTTTGAATGGTCAAATATGTTTTATAACTCATAAAAGCTAGTAACTCAAATAAAGCCCAAAGCAAAATCAAATCAATACTAATGCTAACAAAAAAATTTCAATTCAATACTAGGAATAACGATAATACTGGATATTTATTTTTTTAGTTTTGCATTGACTTAGATAGTGAAAATGCATAACCTACTTTTAATATTATTTAGTCATATAATTAATGGGGTAGTACTTATTAGTCGTACTTATTTTAACATGATTTAGTACTTTAGATTATTTTTTTATTTTTATTATGGCTTATTAATTAGCAATATCTATCTTATACGATTTGTTGAGTATTTTAGTATAATCATGACTCATCTTATATTATTTTATATTATTTTAGCAATATCTATCTTATACGATTTGTTGAGTATTTTAGTATAATCATGACTCATCTTATATTATTTTATTGGATAGTATCTTATATAGTTTGATCCTACTAGGACCTAAGAAATATTACAGCACAAATTATAAATTTTATGTTATGAAGATTTTGTCGGAAAAAATCCCGAAAAAACCCGAAAAATCCGAGAAAAACCGCGATTGGAAAATCCAACTTTTGTTGGTTTGGTTTGGTTTATAGATTTAAAAATTCGAGACAATTGGTTTGGTTTGATAATTAAAAAATCCGAACCAACCCGGCCTATATACACCCCTAATTAAAATATTTGATATTCCAATTTCTGATGTATAATTGTAATATTTTGGTGTTTCTTGTTAAAAAAAATTCTTCCAATATCAATTAAATCTAACAACTAGACAAAAACCAAACGTGCTTACTTTTGACAAACTTGGTAAGGGGCCATTTTTGTTATTTCTCTAAAAGAAAGCATTGATTATTTTCTCATCCCGCTTATTATTTTAATAAAATAATAAGTCATATCATGAGCATGAAATCGAGTTGTTAATAGATAAAAGACAAAATCAACTTTTAAGCCAAATATTGATGACAATATGAAATTTACTGATACGCTAGCTACAACAACAACAACAACAACAACCCAGTGTAATCACACAAGTGGGGTCTGGGGAGGGTAATATGTACGCAGACCTTACCTCTACCCGAGAGGCAGAGAGGCTGTTTCCAGGAGACCCTCGGCTCAAAGAGGCAACAAGAGACACTATATTAGTACTATCAATAGACTCATAATAAAACAACATAAAATACCATGAAATCCATAACATAACATAAATGCCATATAAAACAAAGTAACAGCAATATAAGAGATATAGGAAATACGAGAAAGATATAAGGTATTAATACACAACAGATAAAGCCCANTCCTAACTGGCTAGTCTCACTCTAGTGCGCTGTAAAAAAGACATCACAATTTCCCCTAACCTACAACCTTAATGCTCGATCTCCACAATTCCCTATTTAGGGCCATATCCTCAGTAACCCTAAGTCGCGCCATATCTTGCTTCATCACCTCTCCCCAATACTTCTTAGGTCTCCCTCTACCTCTCTTCGTACCCACCACCTCCAGTCGTTCACACCTTCTCAGCGGTGCATCAGTGTTCCTCCTCTGAATGTGCCCGAACCATCTGAGTCTTGCTTCCCGCATCTTGTCCTCCATGGGGGCCACACCCACCTCTCTTGAATATCTTCATTTCTAATCTTATCCCTCCTTGTATGCCCGCACATCCACCTCAACATCCTCA